TCTATGGGCGGATCCCGGGCAGGGATCCCTTCAATGTGCTCTTGAGAAAACCCCTTATGCGTGAAAAAGCCCCCTTTCTCTGTCTTTTGTCCAACACAGTTTTATGGGACAACACTGGGCATTATGAAGTCTGGGGGATTTTCCACGGGACTCTATAGAAAGCTATAATCCTTTCAGGCATGGGACAAATACAAAAGTTTTAACCTGCTGTTTTCATATTTATTAGCTGGTTATAGCAGACGAGGCAGCTGAACCGTCAGCACATGCCCCTCCTTCTCACACACAAGCTTCAAGTCCTGGAATCAGAGACTGACGAGCGCCTTGAGAGAGGCCGGTTTGATGGACCTGAATGTTTTAACTGAATTAGACAAGAGAGTCAAGTGGGTGAGTGACAGAGTCATGAAGGCCTTCGATACTATATGGGTCAATGTTTCAGTCAACAGGTTGGCACAGCACATTAGTACATGTTTAGGTTAATCACATTTAACATTTAGAAGAAGGATTTGTCCTGGTTTTGTCTCCTTTGTCAGTTAAAGTTTTTCTATTTGATTTTCACTTCAGGCCTCAAACCAATTTGATTTGCTAAATTGGATGTTATCAATACTGTAAATGATTTGAACTCAGTAACTGGACTCTGCAGGAACATGTGTAACAATGCTAAATGATTAAACCTCCTTATTAAACTCCTTTTCCTTTGAATTATACTTTATACATTTTTTGTTATTTATTTGATCTGACTTTAACGTGGATGGTCTTTTGATTTTTTTTTTTTTGTGAGAGTTTATCCAAAAACATCAGCTTGATTTTTGTATTAACACAAAGCAACACAGTTGTAAAACTCATGAAAAGAAGAGAATAAAATAGAGGGGACGATGACAAGTCATGACACACGCACAAGAAAACAAGTGAACATTGTTTGTGAGTGAGATTTAGTTCACTAAAAAATGATGGAATGAAAAACTTTAAGCAAATCATTAAAAGCACACAATTTCTAAATAGTAAAACAACTGTAAAAGCCCTTAACATATTGTTTAAAATAATTTATGATGTATGTATATGTATGAGTTTTTTGTCGCTTATCTATCTATCTATCTATCTATCTATCTATCTATCTATCTATCTATTCATGTCTATGTGCTGTGTTGTCTTTCCCCTGATCCCCTGATAACAGGTCTTTCTATCCAGTTCATCATTCACAGGCCTCAGGCCGCAGCCTCCACCCTCACCCCTCCTCATCTCTCCCCTCCCTACTCCTCTGCCTCCCCCATTCCTCCTCCCACCCCCACCACCCCCTCTCTGTCAAAGCTGATTGTTTCCACGCCAGCAGAGTGCTGCGGGCGAACACACTGTCACACTACATCAGGCAGAGGGGCGAAGGGGAGAGAGAGTGTCTGATAGGGTATATATGTATTTCTGTGTTCAAAAAGCTCCACACAACAGCTAAAGCTCCGGCTGTAGCAGGGATTCCCAAACTTTTTTCATGTCAAGGACATGTGAATACAAGAGCCAGAGAGTCCAGATTTTGTCCTGAGGTGTCTTAATCTGAAAGGACTCCTGGTGTTGGGACAGAGTGATATAACTGTCTGAAACTACAAGGAGGTAATACTGACAGCTTCACACAGACGTGAACGTACAAAAAAATGAAGGACTGGTTTCACTGCAGTAAAGCGATGAGGTGAATGTAGGCAAAGAGCTTTATGGTTTGCTTGTGTGTCCTGATAACAAAGATAAATGATAAAAAGCTGAAGCACAGAAGCATTTAAACTCTGAACTTGAACTGCAGCACAGTTTATAAGGAATATTTAATCCCTTTTACAAATGGCACACTAAAATGTTCTGTGTCAAAACTGACCCAGTTTGAGTCAGTATAGCTTCACACAGTACCAATGTGCTGTTTTGACTCAGCGATGGTGTTATTTTTGTGCTGTTGTTTTACCCAAACTAGGCCAAAGTAAGAAGTATTTTGTTTATTAGACAAAAAATGCTCATGTTTTACCTTAAAACTGACACAAATGTATTTTTGCAAAACAAAGAAAATGTATATGACATTTGAAACCACAGAGAATACATATATTAATGCAGTAACAACAGAAAAGCATTAACAAATAAAGAACAAAAGTCTTCAGTGGTTTTTTACCCACTGGTGAAATTAACACGGTATTGCAGCAGTGCTATATTGACCACATGGGCCAATTTTAATCCAGTGGATTTTAAGTGTGTACATGTAATTTTATTTTTATATTTTATTGTCAGGGTATTTATACAGGATAATTCACAACAAGCTCAAACTGGACCTTAAAACCATCAGTAATAAATCTTTATTTGTACAAAAATGTGTATATAACATTCAAGTAAATCTAAGAACAGGTAGGGTAGATTATAACTTAATCTGGATAAATAATCCAACAGTTACATAAAAATAAAAAGGTTTTCTGCTCATTAGCCCTTAAACTAAACCTCCTACTGCAGCTGTGCTGTATTGACCCACACCAGGTCAATTTCGACCCAGCAGTTTTCAGTATGTGTGTAGCCAAACACTGCTCAGAGCCACAGAACTGTATTTCAAATTGTAGATGACATCCCAAGGTTTGTAAAAACACCAAATATGATAGTGTGAATTTTAGGGGAATGTGTATAAAATTCTGAATATTTCTCTCAGAGTAAACGTCACACACCTTCAATCAATAGTTGCCACAAACTAACACAGACCATATGGTATGTATGTGATACTATCAGACAGGGAGGAATAAGATGATGCTTCCAACCTTAAAGCTACTTAAGAGTAATTAAATGAGAAAATTTAATGTTAAGGGGTTTCGATAGTGGCCACAACACAATATTAACAATATGTCATAGAAATCTAATCAGACGTTCCCCCAAACTATCCCATTATTTATAAGATGTATAAGCTGTTTCGTGGTGAGAAGCTGGGTAAGGTCTGTAATGGTCTGTCATCTCATGACAAACTACAGCCATCCAGCTGTATCGTGCCAGTTTCTCTACCTTTTTGGCTTGTGACAATTTAACACAAAACATAATTTCATATTTCAGTACCAGTTTAACCAAGACCTGAGTTTTACCTCTTGTTTTACTGGAATAATTTAAGGGTACAATTATCCAGCAATTTGTATGTATGCAGACAAATAAAGCAAAGAGCAGAGAGAACAGTCTGAGGAAATAACAGTTTTGTCTTGTGTTTTTCTGCTTTGCTGTCCTGTGAATCATTACATGAGCCCTCATATTTACCTTGGTCCTGACCCTAGGTTGCACTGCATGATCTTATTCAACATGCAGTGAAAAACAATGTATTGCCTCCCATTGGGAATGTTTTCATGGATCCCAGGTGGTCCCCGTTAAGTGCACCTCTGTTGCACACACAGCTGCATGATTCACCCCGGTCTGTGCACGGTTGCCCCCTGGCGTCAAGCACGGAAACAACGTCAGGTGACAGGCTGAGCTGACTGGGTCTGTGATGAAGTGTCTCCCCCCAGTGGACGATGGTTACTGGTGTGTGTGTGTGTGTGTGTGTGTGTGTGTGTGAGGTTAGGGTTAGGGGGACAGGCAGGTAGTGGTGAGGAGCAGGGATAGGGTGAGTCTGTGTGTGCACAAGTGACTGGATGATGTGGAGGTTGAACAAGTAGTTTAGAGAATTTCATTTGTGATCCAAGAAATATACAAAAGCCACGGATAAAAACTACAAGTTAACATTTATAACTGCAGATGATTCGGGTTTGCTGTTATGTTATTAAAATGTGAGAAACACATGGCTTCATCCCTCATGGCTTCAGAGCTGATGATTTATTAGAAAGTTTTTATTAGGCTTTAATTAATGAGTCCCCAGGTAACCTAAAAGTCGATATAATTAATTGGCATTTGTTTGGGTGCTTTTTATTCTCAGCAATTGGGGGAAATAGTAAAATGTCTGCCACCAGGGGATATTTGAGTAGGGGAACATGAGGTACCACATCAGGTACAAGCGCTCTGATTTGGGCTCATTTATCTCCGTGTTTCATGAGCTTTATTTGGAAGAATCTACAACCTCTAACTCCCCCGAAATCGCTTCTCGGTGGTTTACAAAATCACCATCAAAGGCATGTTTGTTCCTCCTTGGTGTCCTTTTTAGAGGTGGTTGCATGCACATTGCTTACAAAAACACCGTTCCGGTGTAAACATGTTATCCCTCAGTTTGGATGCCTCGCGAACATCCACCTTCAGCCAGCAAACAAGGGATCAATATGTAAATTGTCTCAGACTTTCGGAGGGATGCCTGCGTCCACAAGAGGCGATAAGCTTAAAAAATAAATAAACGGGAGTTAGGTAGGATGCATAGACCGGGATTATCCCAAACTTGCCCCGGGGTTTGGCTCCTGCGCGTAACCGGACCGGCGTCTATTCAGAGTACCCGGATAGCACCAACAGGACCCCGGGGCGCAGACTGACAGGCCCCTCGGGGCCTTCTTTCACGGTGTGGGTCCCCACGACTCAGCTCGGGATGGAGATTATAGGGTGGCATTGCGGCTGGTATCTCTCTGAACACGCACACATATACACACGGAAAGAGGTGAGACGATTTCTGGGCGCCCGAGGCAGCAGCCATGCCCAGAAGGATTGACGCTGGAGCCCCACACGGCTATCACACTCCCCGCAGAACGCACACTCCCCAGCCCCGTGTGATGAGCCGATAAAAAACAACTTTGTTCAGCTGACAAAGAGGCAATTGTGAGTCGAAAGGTCATTTGCCCAAGGGCGCCAGTACAGCAAGCACAGTTACAGAAGATAAAAACAGCTCCTCTTCAGTCATATCTGCAACTGAGGGAGCTTTGATAAACCTTGAATCAACATGCTGATCTGGAATGAAATGAAGGCTTCAGGATCTCCTATTGTCAGCCAACGTCATGGACTTTCCTTCACACTGATTCAAGAGAAATGTGATAAAATAAACTAAAATGTCATTAGATCTGATTTGATGAATGTAAAAACAAAAGGAAAATGCTAAAATGTTCAGATATAAGGTCATTTTATTTCTTCCTTTAATTTCACATAATTACAGTATATACAGCACCTCAGGGTATAAATCATCTGTGACATGTTAAATCTGTGATATTTTAAAAATACCAGGTATGGCAGGTGTTTTCTACTCATAGGTCAAGACAAACAACAGCAGTGTAGCTACATTAACCATTTTTGATGTGAACATACTGTATTAACTTCACAGTAGAGCATCCATATTCTCATTGCTTTGCTCAGAATACACCATATGATGTACATTTTGGTTTGGTGATGGAACATGGTTTGGGTCTTCCTCAGTGACGATGAGTCAGTTACATTTATTGATGCTCTGGTGGGGAAAAAAATAAACAACACAAGTTTTAGTATCACTACAATCAGCAACATGAGTGTGAAGCAGAATAATGGGAGAATGCCTTATTTCAAGGGACATGTCTTGAAAATAGAAGCAAACAGAGCAAAAATGTCATCTTTAACCACTTCCTGTTCCATTCCCCCACCCGTCCCCCTATTTACAACTGGCTCACATTGGCAGCAGGAGGGGCGTTGGCTACAGTGGCGTTGGCTACAGTGGTGGTGGCACCCATGCGCAGCAGTTCCTTCCTGTGTGTGAGGATGATGTCAAAGCTGGACTGCAGGCGGTTCTGCTGCTCCTGGACACGGCTCTGCAGAGTGCGGACCCAGCGGATCAGTGCCAAGCGGCGATACATGGTCAGTTGTACCTGGTGCTTCTCCATCTCCTGGGCCTTGAAGCGTTCACGGTCCCGCAGTGTCCACACCGCATCCATCAGCTCAGGTAACTCGCTGTCTGAATCTGAAGACTGGTTGTCATCATTTTGCTCTCCTGTTCCTTCTTCTTGAAGGTTTCCCAGGTTGCTTTCTGCCAGCAACTTGCGGTCAAAGCTTCTGTGTCTTCCAGCTGGTTCTCTGTTACTGTTTGTGCCCTGGTCACTTTCCTGGATGTTCAATTTTGGTTCACCCACTCCGATGCGGTCCCAGGCTCCCACGAGCATCCCTTCGCCTCCACTTTCCATGTTGAGGGAGGACATGCTGCCACCAGATCGGTAGCTGAACTCAGACTCAGAGTCGCTGTCACCCCATTCATCACCATTGTCCAGCCCTGCCTCATCTTCCTCTTCATCCTTTCCTCTGACCCCCGTGCTGCCTTTCCTCCTCTGAAGCTCCTTTTTCTCTCTCTGCATCTCCTCATTTTGAGTCATTATCGCTCTCCCCTCCTCTTCCTCCATCCTCCTTTCCTCTGCTCCATCAGGGGGAACGCGACCATACCCATCATCCCCACTCTCGATTTCGGGCAGAGGTTCCAGAGTGCTCCAGCAGGGCAGGCGGGATCGTGGTGACAGGAGACCTGAGCTGTGATGATATCCTGAAGACAGTGGGGAGTTTGGAGGTTCATGACCCAACAGGCCCAAGCTACGGGGGCGCACCTGGTTTCGGTTCTCATCTCTTCCTCCACTGCCTGTGATGTCCTCATCATCTTTGCCTGGCAGGAAGTTGAAATTACCATCTTTACCACACTTCCTGTTTCGAAGTGAAGAGGAAGAACTGATGTCGGTGCCTCCCTGCTCTCCATAGGAGTTCAGAGGTTGGTCCTGATGGTGAAGCATCACTGACCCCGACTGAGACCCACTGGAACAACAAGGGACAAAGCATTAAAGCACTAAACAGCGCAGACAAAACATAACTTAATTTAATTCTGTGGGATCATAAACTCTCCTATCTTGATTGATGCTCTAAAAAACAAATTCAAATTTCTACTTTATTATCAAGATACTGTATGATAAATTGATTTTGACAGCAAAATAAAGCAGACTAAATGATGTGTGGTAGATATTTGCAGCAATCGTCCAGGCTTTGCAAGTTGCTTTACAAACAGAGTCAAAACCATCGAGGACAATAAGCAGGTCATCAGCAGTCTCCAGAGGTATGGTGACCTTTGGAAAGCTGTCAGCGTGGACGAGGAGCGAAAGCAACAATAATAGTGAGGAAGAGGAGGACAATTACATCCAGCTCACAGACCCACCCCACCCCAGACACACACACACGCACACACACCAAGCTCCTTCGTTATGTCTCTAACTACAGGCTGGTCTGCACACTCCACCTCTATTAGCATCAAATATTTACGTATCCCTAGAATGGAAATTTCTCTAATCCTGACTTCAGGCTCCTGTCAATCAATCCCCTTCCCTCCTGTGCACGCGCATTCGGTGGTGCTGAAGGACAGAGACGTAGCTCTGTCGGGAGCGCGCATGCAGCAGGCACGCACTGATGACTGGCGATCCCGAGGAGCAAAAAACGGACCTTCCGTGTGAAATCGACATATTTATGGCCCCAGAGTCGAATCTTAAAAATGTAATATAATCAATACTATCTTCGATGTTCCGTCGTCTACTTAGGAAGAAATTACTATCAGTTAATCTTTATTTCACCCACGCAAATTGTAGATGGAGACGATGCCGTGCATGTGATGAAAAAGAGAAAAATACTACCAAAACAGTCCTCCACTTTGGCGAATGCCTCCAATCTGTACAAAGGGATGTCAGTGTTCAGTAGGACGACGACAGAAAACGTGAAAACAGCGACTAGCGGCGTCCTGTGGCTACATATCTGATTATTATAGCCTCAAAAATCCAAAATACGTTCATTTTACAGTCCAATTCGTCTCCGGCAAAGGTTAAACCAATTATCGCTATAAATCTAACAAACTCAGACAAAAATACAAAAAACAAACACCTTGAATATTTCATCTACGTTGCGTTATGTAACGCTCACCCCATCTCTGTGTCCTCTGTCCTTTCTCAGTAACAACCTCAGACCCTTCCTTCACAGACCAGTGTGCATCTATTTACATGAGGTCTTGGTTTGTTCTTACCTTTTTTGCTGTATTTCTGTTCGGTGGAGAAGCCGGATACTGCGCCTTCCCAGTTTCCCCCCTCCTCTGACCCTCCTATGTGATGTTTATCTTCCTCTTCCTCTCTCCTCCTCCTCCTCTCACTGCCACTGTGGTTCTGGGAAAAAAGGACTGACGGAGTAATAACACTTCCTAAGCTGGGCTGGGACTGGAGGAAAGGGAAACCATGGAGAATGGAAACAATGGGGGCACAGTTGGCTGTCATACTGTGGCCTTTTGTTGCAGTAATGTAATGTAGGTGTGAATGTACAACCATAGGCCTATATATACCTGTATATATCAACCCCATGGTGTGGTGTTAATCACATTACAATGCTATAGGGAGCTGCTGGGCTCATACGGCCCTTCAGCAAAAATCACAGACACAGTTTTATTATATCCCCACAGAGGGTCACAGTGCTTCTGTTACAACACCGACTTTGATATAGACACCAAAGTAGGATAAACAGATGACCAGGCGACATATGGTACTCGTCAACAGCATTCAGACAAATAAGGACATTAATGTGAAGATGGTGTTCATTCATCTGTGCGTCACACATATGTTTGATTCCTCTGTGCTTGGTAAGGAGCTTGTGTTTGGGCTTGAAACATACTTATAATGTAATAAAACATCCAGCAGTCCCTAGGGAGGCAGAAATTCAATTCAGTTCAATTAAATTAAATTATTTGTTAGTCCCAAATCAGAACAAAATCATCTCAATGCACTTTACATAGGAAGGTCTACACCTTCCAGAAATATAAAGAAAAACCCAACAGCAATGTTTGACGACAGTGGGCAGGAAAAGCTCCCTTTAATGGAGGAAACCTCTGACAGACCCCGGCTCTTGGTGGGTGGCCTTCTTCCTCCAGCGGTGGGGGTGAGTGGATAGAGGAGAGAGAAAAGAAAAGCATCAAATGAAGAGAAAGAGGAGAAGGAATACAAATCACTTGCAGCATTTGAACTCAACACCTGGACAAAAAATGTGTATATGCATACTGATTTGAATGAGGGACAAAACTCACGTTCATTCGAGGGACAACACATCACCTGTTGCTTTTGCCGTCACTCTCACTCTCCACCTTCCTCTTATTGAAGCAAGATCCTGCCCATCTGCTGGTGGTTGTAGAAAGGTATCCTGGGAAATGGAGGAAGTCTTGGTGAATCTGAAGTAGACAGGACAAATCGCAAAAGTAAATCCCAACACTTGCATTTAGGCATTAGGCCCACCACTGTCATCAAGCCAAACAGAGTGTTGGAGGATGGATTTTTATATCTACAGTCTCAGGTGTGTTTAAAGCATACAAACTGTTACCCACAATGCAACACTGACAGCAAATATCATAACAAAGAGAGGACTGCAGGATTTGTTGCAGCGTGACACAGTATTTCTCCAAACTGGTGACTGATGATCAATCTGATCTAAGGATGTGGCAATCCAATGTGTGTGTGTGTGTGTGTGCATGTAAGTGCATTTCCTGGTTGTGTGTGCGTGTTTGTGGTATAGGGAGGCTACATCTGACAGACTTAACAAGTGTTCAGTGTCTCTCTCCTTAC